ACAAGAAGCCTTCCTGAGGATAAGATGGATGCAGTCAGGCTAACTGCTACACAAGAAGCCTGCCTGAGGACAAGATGGATGCAGTCAGGCTAACTGCTACACAAGAAGCCTGCCTGAGGACAAGATGGATGCAGTCAGGCTAACTGCTACACAAGAAGCCTTAGTGAGGACAAGATGGAGGCAGTCAGGCTAATTGCTACACAAGAAGCCTTAGTGAGGACAAGATGGAGGCAGTCAGGCTAACTGCTACACAAGAAGCCTTAGTGAGGACAAGATGGAGGCAGTCAGGCTAACTGCTACACAAGAAGCCTTAGTGAGGACAAGATGGAGGCAGTCAGGCTAATTGCTACACAAGAAGCCTTAGTGAGGACAAGATGGAGGCAGTCAGGCTAACTGCTACACAAGATGCCTTAGTGAGGACAAGATGGAGTCAGTCAGGCTAATTGCTACACAAGAAGCCTTAGTGAGGACAAGATGGGGGCAGTCAGGCTAACTGCCACAGAAAAATACTTAGTGAGGACAAGATGGAGGCAGTCAGGCTAACTGCCACAGAAGAAGACTTAGTGAGGACAAGATGGAGGCAGTCAGGTTAACTGATACACAAGAAGCCTTAGTGAGGACAAGATGGGGGCAGTCAGGCTAACTGCCACAGAAAAATACTTAGTGAGGACAAGATGGAGGCAGTCAGGCTAACTGCCACAGAAGAAGACTTAGTGAGGACAAGATGGAGGCAGTCAGGCTAATTGCTACACAAGAAGCCTTAGTGAGGACAAGATGGAGGCAGTCAGGCTAATTGCTACACAAGAAGCCTTAGTGAGGACAAGATGGAGGCAGTCAGGTTAACTGATACACAAGAAGCCTTAGTGAGGACAAGATGGAGGCAGTCAGGCTAATTGCTACACAAGAAGCCTTAGTGAGGACAAGATGGAGGCAGTCAGGCTAATTGCTACACAAGAAGCCCTACTGAGGACAAGATGGAAACAGTCAGGTTAACTGCTAGACAAGAAGCCTAATTGAAGACAAGATAGAGATGGTTAGGCTAACTGTTGCTGCAGGAATTTTACCAAGAACAGGATAGAAGCAGTTAAGTTAAATGGTGCACAGAATGCTCCCCTTAGGACAAGATGGAATTAGTTAGACTTACTGCTGAACAAGGAATCGCATGGAAAACAGAATGGAGGCAGTTGCTGAGGACAAATTGGAGACAGAATTGCTAACTGGTGTACACGTATTCTCCCCCAGGGACAAGATGGAAGCACTCAGGCTAACCTCTGCATGCAGATGTCTAAACATTTTGACCCTCTGAGGTCTATAAATCACCGACCTCCCAAAGAAAAGTTAACCTGCCAGATCTGAAGAGTTTATGTTGACCTCATGAAGCCAAAAAAATGCAACAGGTGGAGAATGGGTGGTAACTGGACTTCTCATATATCCCAGGACGGGGCTTCTGCTATACAGGAGGATCACCCCCTTGTATTTAACATTTTAGTATCAGAAGGCAGCCCGACGCTTTACAATTCTCTTTTTATTGAATGGTAAAGGAGAGCCGGGATGTTTTGCAGGAATATCGGGCCCACCCTATGATTGCAGGTCTCTTCAGGAAGGAATTTGGTGTCAGAGAGAGTTTAGGTGACGGATTTCATTACAGCATTGTCTCTGTGCCTGAAACACAATATGGTGGAAGCGGAGGTTAATCCGTTGGACGGAATAATGTTATTAAATAATGTTTTTATGGGAAGATAAAGCTGCCTTGGTTCCTCGTCCATGAGCAAGGACAACACCCTCAAGTCTTTCTGAAAAAACAAGACGATTGTTCTGGTCAGCACCTTCCACATAGAACTTGGCCAGTCCAGAGCCTTACTAACTAAATATAAAGGAGTAATCTATTAGGGTCAAACAGCCATTATATGACACAATAACTTTATTATCTTTTACAATAGATAATCATTTAGTAGACTTCCATAGAGAGCTCAGTAAAATACTCTATGTGAAGCATAGATATACCTTGGCCGACCTCTTGGCAGTGCCAGAGAACCAGTATCAAAATCACGCCATGATTAATTTTGTACGTGACAACCTCTCTTCTTCTGTTCCGGGTTATTAGAAACAGTTTAAGAATAAGTTTAACGATACGATGTGTGATGACTGTTTCTGATTACAGCTAGCCCAGCAGGAGCTAGAATTACAAACCTCTCGTATATACAAGCCATGCCGCCACTGGTGTGCTGATGGAGAGGTCCGCTGCCCATTGACTTATTAGGCCGAGCTTTGGCACTTTGTATTAAAGTGCAGGAAATCAGAAACGCATTCTGTTTCTAAGTCTGTAGACGTAAGTGGCATGAAATACCTTGTCATTGGACACTCTTTATTGCAAGGCTCATGCCACCTTCTCTCTATGGAAGGCTGATACCACCTTCCTCTTTGTAAGGGCCCATTCACCTATCTGATTTTCTTATATTATGACGTACAATATGTTACCATTCGCCTTCTTCTATGAAAGGAAGACATTTCACATTTATGGCCTGTGCCAGAGACAGTTTGAATCTTTTGAGTCTCCTCAGCAGAACTCTTCTTCTGTGTGTCTGATACGGATGAGTGACATTGGGAATTTTTTTTATTTGCCCAAATTCACCATTTTGGATTAATAGGAAAGTAGAACGTACGGATTTTTGTAGTGGCTTTTAAGGGTGTGATGGCTTCTGGAGGTTACAGAGGCTACTTTCCAACGATAAAAGAGCACAAACGAGATCGCCACCACCTCGGTTATCTAGAAGATATGTTGTCCGCACACCATTCTGCTACGGAATGTCTTCTTTATTTGCCTGACGAAGGGGTCCTGTGTGGCTCCGGAACGTTGCATTCACATGTCATGTTAAAGGAATACGAATAAAAAGGACATTCCGTAGCAGAATGGTGTGCGGACAACATATCTTCTAGATTGTACATTGTGGTGCCATCCAGCGTTGTTCCAGCACCCGTTGGATTTTGGGGTGCATCGGTACAGTGTGCGAAGGGGATATTACAAAGACCACCTTGGTTATTACACAAGGTGGGGCGCTCTTGTTTATGCTCTTTTTTTTAGCTACCTCGCAGGACATCTCCACCTGCCTTCCTGGAGCCGCACACCTTACAGCTATACCTTCATCTCCCCTTGTTCTACATCTGAGAGTGCTGGACTTCCTTATTATTGCTTTTCAACTATTCTGGACCTGTTCTTGTACCAAAAATCTGTCCCCGGATCCTTGGGAATATGATGTTAGATACTGAGGACAAAGGGAACCCTAACTAGAACTCAAATGCTAACCACTAACGCCAACCCTGTTACTATACAAAGCGTTGTAAAGCCATTGATTGATTTGTTGTTAGAATATGTCGTGAATGAAATACATTTTCAATAAATCAATCCACCCATATCTAGCTTTTGATACATTGCAACACATAACAGCTACAGAATTCTCTGCTCTGCTGCTGTTTTTGCAATTAAATGACGGCCCGCCATACAGTTCTGGCAACTAAAACTACATCAGATATTGGCAGTCGTGTTACGTGACCGGCCCAGCCAATTGATTCAACTTTCCAAAAGCATTATGGGGCAATTTTTGAATTTTATTTCATGTATTCCTTCAGCTCTAATGTGGGTTAATAACCATTGGCAGATACAGGGGGATTTCTGAAACGTCTTTTGTGCTTGTGTGATCTGCTGGTCCCTGCACGCCGCATACCCCAACACAATAGTCATTCACCGGTAAAACTGACGTCTGCGTGATTGTGGGAACCGGCTCACCTCGGGCCGCCAACACCTGCAGACACACACGCTCACGTGCCCTCGCCATCGC